CATGTTATATATTATATAAGTTTTGCATAGCTGGGCTCTGTCTTACATATGACATAGTGTCTCCTGACACGGATCGGACAATGCATTCGCATTCAGTACATGTCAATATTCTACGTCTAAAGGGGGAGAACATGGTTCTCGCAATCCCAGTGAGGTTGTCAGTGATGAAATTCACCATTTCGCATGATAGATAATACATAATGCCAAGGACAAGTAGTGCAATCATAAAATTAAGCAAAGATAATAAGCAATAAGATATCATTAAAAATCTGTACGTTCCAACAAGATTTACTTTACTATTACGAATAAACTCAGTAGTCATAAATAATAATTTAAAAAATAAAAGCTTGTAAAATAATAATTGTATGTAATTATTATTTTATAAGCTTTTACTTTTAAGCGTGTGATTATTGAAATTAATAATTATCATAATATTATTGAGTTTATGAAGCTTCTATTCGGTTCATTACCTCAGATTATAATAATATACGCGAGAAAAAATAAAATTCCTGCAAAATATATATGTTAATGTAGGAATATGTTGTAAGAAAACAACACTTATAATCGATAGAACCAACTGTAAAATAAACTGAAAACTCTGTTTGTTTTATTAATTAATAAATAACCATATTATCTGTAAATAAATTATGCATAATCAAAAATGAATAAGTTATATTGACAATTACAATAAACTACGAAATTGATAATACATACATAGAAATAAATATAATATAATTTTTCCTTAAAACAAGAAGATGATTTTCGATATAGTTTATAAATCTATTCTATTAATTGCAAATATCGTTTTTATTGAAAAATAATTTTACATTATAAAATATTTCAAATATGATTTTTATAAACATTTGTATTGCGTTTTCTTGCATCCAACATTATAATCTGAGATAACAAAGATGAATAAATAGGAGTCTTAATGTTCTTCTTTTGTTATTAATTTTGGGTAATGCTTCACGGAAAAAAGAAAGTAACTGTCATAACTAAAAATTGCATGTGGTAACTAAATGGCAAATATGGACATCTAAAATATATGTATCACAGCTAATGTCTTAGCTGTGATATCTATATTGTAGCAGCAATAGCAAACCATTTCACTGTGGTTTATAAATTTATACGGCAGCAAATATATTGTAACAAACCAATATTAGCTCTCTCTCTCTCTCTCTCTCTCTCTCTCTCTCTGCGATAGAAAAAAATCTTTTTTTCTGTGTTTCTGGATAAAAGTTAACTTTTCCTTTCTGAATAAAGGTAGTATCATAATTAAATATTCAATTAGTTCCATGTAAGTAACGATTCCTTTTTCGTTAAGTCGTTAGAATGAGGAAACATTGGTAATGCAATTAAATAAACGAGGTAAAGAGGACGACTTTTTCTCATCACACAACAGAACGAAGAAAGGTTTAGCTTTTCGTGACTGTCGTTCTACAAATGAAAAAACGTCCGAAAAATGTAGTTAATAATTCACATATTACGATCAGTCGATTTCGTTTATATGTACATTGATAATGTCTTAATGAACGTTTAATACGGGCAGCTTTCAGATGTTATCCGAACAAATTTTATTCACCGTGATGACCGAGATCTTAATTTTCAGATATTTTCGTCGAGATGAGTTACATGTTATCGATTAATTCTCTAATGTTTCTTGAAAACGAACACAAACCTTCGTTTAACTCTTCGTCAAATTATTTTAATACTAAAACAACATAATCAAAATATTAAAATAATATAAAAATATTTAATACGAAAATCTTGAAATAGTATTAATTGATATTTATTATATTGTATCTGATATTTGTGTTACACTGTATGTAAATATATTTAGAGTGATTATTAATTATTTTAGCTAGGTAAATACATTTATTCAGAAGCTAAACATCAACATTTTTTATCTTTCTGTAATTGGTTAATTGATCTAATTAACCTTTGTTGTTCTCTCTATATCAAAATGGACATCGACGTTCTGCATATAATATTCCAAATGAAATTAATTTGACAATTACAATTCACAAATATCATATTTCCAAAATCTTTATATTTTTCAAATGATAAAAAAAAAATTAGGAACAGACATTGATAATATCAAAGTACAAGTAAGACATCAAAATAAGACTTAACATTAGCTTTGCCAAACTATACATAAACGTAAAGAAAGAATTTATATTTTAGCTGAGCTCAGCATCACTACTGAGATTCTAAATGCTTATATTGAAATTTAACATCTTGCATATAATATTACAAATTTTTAAATTAATTCACAATTACAATTAGCAAATATTTTTCAAAATTTTATATTTTTCGAATAATAAAATTTAAATCGGAACAGACATTGACAATATTAAAATAAGAATGAAAATGTTTAAGTTAGCTTTGTTCAACTGTACGTAGACGTAAAGAAGGAATTTATATTTTAGCTGATTGCATTGAGATGATAAATAATGCATGTACTGAAATTTGTTGAAAATCACAGGGGGTTAGGGAAAGGGTAATAATTTTATATTTTGAACTCGTGCGTCATGCGCGTCGTTAGGAATATCACACCGCAGTTGCGAACGATAAATAATTTAATCTCGCACTCTCCCCTGGAATTTCGGGCCACTGAAATCCTGCGCAGTACCACGCACATTGCTAGACATACAAATAATACATGGTATAGATTTCGCGAAAGGGAATATTTAATGTGCGTCCCCATGGATATCTAGAATTTCGAACAAGTGCGATAACACCGATGAAAATACGAGGCAAAAAGCGTGGAAATGCGAGAAATACCAATCGGCTAGTATTACGTTGTTTTGACGTTGCACAATCACGCGATTATTAATACCAACCACTCTTCGGGTGACAGGGGAAGAATGATTCATCGAGGAGACACGATCGCGCAACGTACGACGCGTGTGGAATTACGTGATAAAGGTGAGAGTGCGCCTTGTCGTGCACATGCAATAGATATTTTCAGGCTCTCCTGGAACCTTTACACAATCAAGCTTCCGAGAAGTAGTTTTTCTAACACAAAAATAAGAACCTTGCGACATCAAGATTTTTATGTTTATTATTATATCGACATCATTATATCGAGATGATATCGCGAGAAACACACTGCATTTACTATTGTACTTACACCTATACACACCTTATTTGCTTATAATAAATTAAATTACGAGTTCGTTTGACGATAAAATCGAAAAAGAGGTGTCGGTCGATCGCATTCTTCTTAACATTCAATACGGAGTATCTCTCGGTAATAAAGTTTGGACTTAATATCTGATAAAAAGAAAGATAAGTTCTTCTTGAATTTAAATGAACGAGAAAGTTTTGTTATTTAATTGCATCTGCCCTTACCTATTGGAAAGTTAGTTAGTGAAAGGTCCTTCGTTTCCCAATCATTCCTAATATGAAACTGTCCTATCTTGATGCGTCTCAGTTGAGGAAAAGTCGACCGTTAGTTGATGAAGGAATCTATCTTAAGATTTAATTCGGATATTCGCTGTATTTTTACGTAATTTGCTACATTATCATACCGTTTTCATTAAGAATGTATTATACTAGCAGGTAAAAAAAACTATCGTTACTGCATTTCTTTTATCGTCCATTTTTTTTATGTATGTTTTGCCAATGTTTTCGCTGCGTCCAGTTAGCCCGCAAACAATGCGGGACTTAATAAAATATTTTTTCGACACTGCCGCGAATTTGTTCTGTCAAGCCAATACTAAAACAGTGTACTTTATTTCTTCCTACATTACTTCTTCTATCAAATTAAATCTTATAATACGTATTTACGAAAGTAATTGGACATTTGTCAATGATAAAAAATTATATTTTGAAGTAAATTTCATTGACAAAGAAAAATATAAATACTAAATATTAGTTCATTCAATATTAAACGATAAAATGCCAGTAGGTCGAGGTAATTTAAAATAATAATTATAATGTTTTATTGTTAATGTTATTGCAAATTAATATTTTGTACATAACATTTTGAAAATTCAGTTTTAATAATTAAAAAATAGCAGTAAAATTAATAGAATTTTGTACACTAATAAGAAATTTTAACATTTTATCACACATTAATATTTAATGTACAAGTTTTTCAAACTTGTTACCAATGGAAAATTTTAAATATAAAACATTAAAATTTCTGATTACTATGAAAGTTATGTTATACTGATATTTCATTATTTAATATCGAATGGATGAAAATTTGCTTTGTATATTTTATTGCACAAAATGTATCGTGTCTAAAATATAATTTTCTCATGATCATCAGTAAAAAATGATCCTTATTCAGTTATTTTTATGAATGTAAAATTTGATTTTATAGAAAAATAATATAAAAAGAAAAAGTGAAAAGATGTTTTAAAGAAACAGAAAAAATAGAATTTTATAATCCTTTCGTAAACCCCAATTAAACTTAAGCCGATAATTTCATTAAACATATTTATCATTACTAGAATAATATTGCACAAAATTCGTTTTTGCAATTTGCGGTTTAGTAAAACAATGCTTAAAAGAATTATATAAGTCTGACGAGAGAAACTTTCTTACTTAATCTAAAGAAAGCAGACTTTCCTTTTCAAATTAATATAGGTAAGCTACGATGGAAAATTAAGAACTTCGTAGTTCTTCTTGTTAATCTAATACATACAGTTTCAAAAATTAATTGACGATAGTATTAACAGATTAGAAGAGATATACAAAGATAAATATTGCATAAATCATAGGCATTATTGAATTGTAGCAGAAGGAATAAAAGGATGATTTTCAGACCAGATGAGAGATTTAATTCATTCGAGTGTGAGAAACGTAAGTCAAGATGTAAGCTTGTGGGAGAGACGAGGCAAGGCACGTTATTACTTCGGTTTCCGCTTATCGATAGGCTTTAATTTAACCGGCCTAACCGTCCAATTAACCTGCTTCCACTCCATATATAGTGCCAAGTAAAAATGTTCAGTCAGGGTCGTACGAGGTGACAGTAAGTGTACACTTACCCTGCCTGTCTGTCTTATCCCGTCTCGTCGCAGAGATCACTGTTCCACCTCCCTCGACGAGCGGCACAAAGAATCACAGTTCACGAGAAAAGATATGCACGACGGACGACGACGGCGACGGCGACGACACGTAGCTGCCCACGAGTGATCATCCGCGGGAGGGAATTTCTCTTTGTGTCTCCCTCTTTCAGACTCTGTCAAGTCGCTTCCGGAACTTCTCTAAGTATATCTCACTGTCCCGAAAGCTTCGGGCCGGAAAAGGATGCATTCACGACGAGGACGACGAGGACGACGACGATAATCAAGCCAAGTACACTCACACGTTTCGCGTTGCGCATGTGTATACATATATCTATCTATCTATCTATTTATCTATATTTATATATATCTCTGTATACGCATCTCAATGGAACTCACGTTTCTTCTTCTTTCTTTCTCTCTCTTTTTCTCCATCTATCCTCGTTAAACTCACACTGATTCGCTATAATCTCCGTTCGCTCTGGTCGCGTTGTTCTTTCTCACGATCCACTCTCCACTCTCTCGCTACGATTCTCTCTCCCTCTTTTTCCTTCTCTCTCTCTCTCTCTCTTTCTCTCTCTCTCTCTCTCTCTCTCTCTCTCTCTCTCTCTCTCTCTCTCTCACACACTCTCTGTAACTAGGATAAAATGATATGTATTCATTCGCAACGGCGGTCTCCGAAACTGCACGACTGTCTTCGCGTTTCGCACTTTCACTGGGCCGATCGAGAGTGTCTGATTTCACCCAGCCACCCCCCGTATCATTCGTTCGTCTCGTTGGTTGATTTTTCCGTCTTATGCTGGCTCTGCTCCGTTCCTCGCTCTATCCTCCTATCTTTCTCTCTTCCTGTCTTTCTCTCGACGGAGACCCCGTTGCACACCCCCTCGGACAATAACCCTTACTCACTACTATTTTTGCTTGCCTAAACTAATACGGATAATATACTCCCGGTGCACACGGCTAATATCTCTACACTCGCACGACTACCCCCGTGTGCGCTCTAACCCGAGTCATATTTTAAATACGACGACGCACGGGTGGCGGTGCGACCGTGGGGTTACACTCTCTGCCTCTCACGCTGCCGCCTCCCTCTTGCGCCCCGGTCGGCCGCGATGCACCCCTACCCTTTGAAGGTATCCCCACTACGGATACTGTTCGCCCTTGACGCGCCACCCCGCCGAACAGTGACGTCTCTCGAAGGTTTAACTTTAACCCCCCCATCGAGATGTGCGTGCCGCCTGCTTTTATTTCCTATCATTAAAGTAAAATATTATATAGACTCTTTCTCTTTGTTACTTTAATTTTATCCCTTAATCAAAAGGCACGGGATGCTCTTACGATTTTTATCCTTAGCTTTGTTGATTAAAATGGTGTGTAATACTGTAAAAATTGTAAATTTTCTAGGGAAGGTCTTGAAAACTCTCTCTCTCTCTCTTTCTCTCTCTCTCTCTCTACCTTTTTTTACATTTTATAATAAAATTGGGAAGAGGAAAAAGAACAGGATTGATACATCATTAGAGTTAATAAATATTATTCTAATTAATATAATATAATTTTGAAATATTAATTTTAATTATCTAAGGATACTAAAAAACCGCGATACTATAAAGACAAAGTTATCATCAAATTTCCCGTACTTTTCTATTAAGTTCAGTCGACTCTATCGTAGCCACCTGGGTTTCTCCGCGCGATCGAGACGCCCCTAATATACCCCTTATTCCCCGTTCGGAAAATCGCAGTGACGGAATTCTGCCACAAAGTCCTGCTCCGTGCCGCTAGAATATTTCCACGAATATTTTCCAATCTTTACGTGTTTCACGAAACAGTACAAGTCCACTATAAAACTTGACTGTTTACTTTTAATGAACCTACAGTATATTGCACAAAGAAAGTGTGCTATGTTACACTCTTTCCAAGGTTTATTTAGTGAAATATTTCTCGGTATTGCAATATTGCATATCTCGGTGGCGCGATGACCCCGTTACTTGCGACGCCCTTGAAATTATGACAACCCACCGCTGCAGGGGCAGAGGACAGTAACGTAGTCGGAGTATCGCTTTACAAAGAATTATAATTAAATAAGTGATATTTACGTCCCCGTGAAATTGTGGGCGTAAGTTAATGAACGTACACAAGAGACATAATTTAGCAGCGCCAAATTTATTATGCAAGCAATATGGAACATGTGTATTGTAATTCATAAATTATAATTATTCGTGACATCCGATACATCGCGTGGAATGTAACAAATTAATATTAATATGTATGTACTTTCTAAAACTTTTAGAATGAATTGTCACTCTAAACAGAATCAATCTCACTCTTAAAGATTAAAAATGGAGTCATTCTTTTTCAAGATCGGCTCAATTTTTACCCTTCAGAGTGAGATTTCATTCAAAAAGTAAATGCAAACGAATCCGACAGAGTTACTTATGTATTTCTATATTATTGAGAAGAGCGTTGCGCTATGTTCCTTCAATTAGCACCGAGTCGAATGAGCCGTCAAAATTCAGCCCTTATTAATGCCGGGGGTTCGCGGAAATTTGTAAGTGCCGTGTTTCATACAGTTTTTGCGGTTGTTACTACATCGTCAAGTTGCTTTTCTCCAACCACATTCGGTCCTTCCCCACCTTAGTCGGTCGATCGACGATAACGTCGGCATTGTTGTTATACGTCACTGACCGTCACTTACCCCTGCTAGGAATTATACCCTTTCTCCTTCCGCCGTCTTCCCTACCTTTCGCGCGCTCCTCATTTTCCCTTCACCCCCTCTTTCAAACGGGGCTCAATGGCCGCAGACTACTTATGGTATCTAAACGCCTGATGCTTAGGGCAATGTGTCTGACACTGCCCAATAGGTGAATGGACAGAAGCCGTCTCTATCCCGCGGCAAGCGCCACATCTCACTAAATCGTGCATATCGAAACCGTTGCAGGGGCGGTCGCGCGCGTCACGTAACAGTTGCAGGGTGCTACGAAATTAGGAGAGTTTGTACCCCCTGTACGAATTCAAGCTCGATCGAGCTACCGATTCTCCAGAATCTATCGTCGATCTCTATGTTATATCACGCCGTCGCAGTAATGCACCGCATAACTCTAGCTGCAGGTCGCAGACCGCGGAAGGTAATTTTAGAATGAAGCTAACAACGCTTTCATATGCAGTTGATATACCGTCTTCATAAACATTAATCAACATTCTGCTCCGCTTTCTATTTGTCTCTTTGATACATTAGTTTTAACTAATATTTATGACAACAATTTCACGGATATTAACGTGCTAGAGTTAGAAAAAGCTATTACTATCCTTGGAGAAACAATCTCGAAACATAGCAAGCGACTCTCCTGGTGACTCCGAAGCCACTCGAGCTAGTACGTTTACGATCGCGGAAATTGTACGTTACCGGAAGTCACATATTTCCAAGTGTAAAGCGAGAAAGAGAGAAAAAGAGGGAAAGAAGGGGCGCAAGGGAGGGAATAGCATCGAGGCAGCTTACCCCTTCCGTATCCCTTGGCCGCGAGCTTTCATGAGCTACTCCCCACTCAGGGGTTCGTTTCCCTACCCGGCGACCGAGGGATTCTCCTATTGACGTACCAGTCCTCTCTGACCCAACCCCGTGAACCCCTCGCCCACATCTATCCCCACGCGCACCACCACCATCCCTCTAGCCCTCTATAGCATGGTCTGACGTAACGCGACGTTACGTCAGACCACCCTCGCAACCCGCTGCTGCAACGGGTAGTCTCCGGACACTCGCACTCTCGCACCCTCTCTCTCTCTCTCTCTCTCTCTCTCTCTCTCTCTCTCTCTTCCCCCTCTCTCTCCTTTTCCATCTCTTTCTCCCTCATGATTTCTACACGATGGCATTTCTTACCGCTACGACACGGTACTTCTTTATAATCACAAATTTCGCTTTGGCAAAAATCACCTACGCGCGTAGGATACGATAAAAAAGGTATTAGATAGGCGGCAAGGGAACGAGAAAAGAGTCTTTCGCCATGTGGCGCCATGGGAGTTCCTTTATACGGATCGATTTAAAACCCCTGTCCTTCGTCTTTTTTTTTCTCTCGTTGTTTTATTTTATGATAATTTTACTTTTATGAGGAAAAAACATTCAATATTCCGCGGCAAAAACTTATTATTCTGTTATAATTTAAATCGTGATTCCGCACCTTTACACTACCCCCGTAATTCTAGATAGAAGCCTGGCTTCCAAGGGATTTGCTCACTGGCCTATGTATGGTTAGAGGTGACAATGATAGTAAGCTAAAAGAAAGAGGAAGTTAGAGGGTGGGAAAAAGAGAGAGAATTCTAGGAAATGGTGTTATTCCGCGTAGGCCAGATATAGAAGAGTCGATTTTACGTTAATCAATTCTTAGAATGATCTTAGGAAAATATGCAATAAAAATCTGATGACATAATATTCTACAAAATATATTTCCCGTTGAATGCTTTTTCTGAATGTTTCTCGTTTATAATATTTTTTCTACTTTCCATTAAAATATATTTCCAAGATTTTCATATTTAATCTTAAATCGGTATTATTGTTATTCTAAGATTTTCATATTTGTGATATTCACAGTCCATTCTTATGTTAAGATTCTCTTAAGTAATGTCTTAATTAAGATGCTAATATAGCTCTATGAGCAATATTCATAATCGACCAATATTCATTCTTATTTTAAGATCGTCTTAAGTAATGTTTTAAAATGCTAATATAACCTTCTGATTGGTTCAAGATATCTTAAAACTGTATATTTATTAAGACGATTCTAAGGGCGGTATTCATATATAGTCGATTCTTATTTCAAGATCGTTTTAAGTAATGTCTTAAGATGCTAATGCGGCCCTCTGACCGGTTCGTGACATCTCAAGATTGAATTTAAGACGCGATCTTATAATATAAGAATAGACTATGAATACCGGTCTAAGATTCGACCATGAATATTGCCCTGTGATTCGTTAATGGTTCTTAAGACTGTAAAAACAATCTTAAGAATTGACTATGAATACTGGCATAAAATTCTTAAGGTATATAATCTTTGTAAAAAATATATTTACATAATCACTTCTGGTATTACGCTATTACTTGTTATCAATTTCTCCGGAAAAATTATATCCCGCAGAACATAAATTAATGATAACAATATTACACCAATATTATAATTTTCCCCAATTCAACAACATAATTTGTATCCTTTAAGATAAAAAAAATACAAAAGATTCGATTCTTTTAATTCTATATGTACCTATAAACTATAAACAATGCGTCTCCCTCAGATTTTTAATTATTATATATATAAGAATTTAAAATTATAATCTTAAATTCTCTCTAACGCCATCTCTCTCTCTCTCTCTCTCTCTCTCTCTCTCTCTCTCTCATTAAAAATAAAAAATATCAATTCAAAAATACAGATACAAATATATCACTTAAAATTATGCACAAATAATATGAATCGGAGTTATTAAGCAATAATAATTAATCGTTACTAATATGCATTAATATTTTAGTGCATTTCACATTGCCGTAACTTTTTATAGTAAACGTCTCAAGGTAGTCCAGCAATATGTCGTTCACTGTTTCGAATAATTCAAATAATTGTACGGGAAGCATCGATAAACTTACGGATTTCTGATAAATCTGTAACACAATTCGTCTGTGAGAAGAAAACAATACAGCAGTGCAGCACAATGCAATACTTCTTAACGTAAACACGCGCATTATAACAATTCGCGATCAACAATGCCCGAAATGAAAGATAATCTCGCGGGAGAACTGTTTGAAGTTAGCCGTAAAAGCAAAAATCGTAATAGTCATGTCGGTAGTGTCATCTGACATCGCGAGCGCGAAACTTTTCAAAGCGCTTAGTCAATAACATAGGGATTTCTAATTGTTGATTTGTTTAGTATACATATACAAAGAAAAATAGAACAAAAATTGTGGATATAATCGGGGAACGGAACCAAAACGTACCTTTGAATATTTAATTTTGAGTTTCTTAAAATTCAACAACTTTTATTTCCATATAGTAGGAGATGCGAAATTCAAATTTTTGTTAAGGATTATAAACATTTATTAACATGCACAAAAAAATTAAATTCATATGTAATAAATAAATTAAAACATTCAAATCCAGCGATTTATATCCATTAGGACACATAAAAAGTGGATATGTTGTGTAATTTATATTCACTTTTTCAGAGGGCAGTAGTGCGCGAGGGCATTTTACGGTTACAAGAAAAAGACTCTTATATCTTTTCTCCGGTTTCTCTCTGCTTGCACTTTCTGCATTCAAGTTTTTTTATACTCTATCATGCTCTTTCTCTCTCTTCAGCGATCGAGTATATGTCCGTCTCATCTCAGGCGCGAAAAGTACTTGAGCCGCTTGAGGTTGGAAGTGCAAGCAAAACAAACGGATCCAAGGATGAAAAGAGAGTTTAAATACGTTACGATCATATGAAAAAGGAAAACAATATGTCTTGAGCACTGATTGAGAATAGATGACAAGAAAACTCACTGGTATGGATAATTTTGTATCTTTTCTTTTGCGCGGAATTTAATCCTATGTGTATGTGTGCATGTAATTTTGATTAGACGGATTTAAATTTTGCGAATAAGGAACTTACTCCAGCTGTGCTTATTTACATTTTGTTAAAGAAATATATCGCATGAAATTAGAATATTTGCAAGATCATAATTTTTGCAAATTAAAAAACTCATTGCTTTCATAATCTAATAATCTTTGCTACTTTGGTTTATTTGTTTTAAATATCTTGATTTATATATGTATAGTTTCTCTAGTATATATCTTTCACTGTTAGGTAAAAATAATGTTAAGCTATTGTAACATTTATAAATTCATTGTATTTTCTTATTTAAGAACAGATTTATCATGGACGAGGTTGCAGATAATTTTGCATGGACTCGCCAGCTTGAGTGTCCACTGACAGTATACAATGAATCGATGAAGAAAATGTTTGTTCATTTTATATATATACATATCTGTTTATTGGATCTCTTGCTATTTATTGTTTTGTCTAACTTTTCTTTTTCATCAGATTATGCAAAGGAGTACTAGAGCTCCTGTGGGAGGACATTTCCAATTCTGCGTTTCCTATAGCTGAAGCATGTAAAATAAGAAAGAACATTTTGCTGTACAAACTGAAGCATGGATTAACTGATTCTGCAATTTCATCTGCAAGACATTTGGATCAGTTGAAAGTACAAAATAATGCACTGAAACAACAGATATCCACACTGGAAGAAGAATATGAAGAACAGGATTACACTGTCAGGCAAAAAAGTAAGATGACAAGCATGCATTAATCTCGAGAATATTTCAATGCAATTTTAATAAATATCATGAAATTGTTAGTGCAACGGTTAAAGGATATAAAAAGCAAATGTTCGCTGATCAGCAGGAAAAAGGATTTGCTTAAACTGAAACACAGTGAAACCAGTAAGCAAGTGAAAGATTGCGATGACATGAGACGAGTATGCCAGCATTTAATGCCAAGCACTTCTAAGGACATAGATCAACAGAGATTGAGGGAGAATTTGGATATAATAGTAGACTTGCGTCGTTCAGCCATAGATAAGAAACAAGTCAGTTTTTTTTTACAGACTATCATATAAAATAATATTCATGTATAAAATAATACTGAGAATAACATTTTCTAATAACAGATATGGATAAAGGTATCAAACTCTCTTAGTAGTATTGATGTGCACACACTATGGACACACTTGTATCAAATGCTGTCGCAAGATTTGAACATATTAATGAAATTGGAAACCAAGAATGACTTTGACAATTTAAATGTAGTAGGCGAAAGTATAGATATTGGTATTGCAAGAGCATCTGGTCAATATATATGCATGATATCAAAACGCATATTGTCTAATACTAAAATTAACATGTACCAACAACGTTTAATGGAATTTATAGATTTAATAGAGGTAGCGTGAAAATATTTTAAAATTTATATTAAATTATAAAAAAATATATAATTAGCAGAGAACTTGAGAGACAATTAATGCACACCTTGTCTTGCAGTTATTATCACATGAAGATGTAAGCGCGTGGTTAGTTTTAAAGTTGGAGGTAAAAAAATTAAAAGCCGAACAGGCTTACCTGCAAAACGAAATTCAGCAATTGAAGAACATTATTCAGGAAAATTCCTTGCTCAATCTCGATATAGCTCGATTAACGGCTGACATAGAGACGATTGACGCACAGATGGTATGTATTAACATATTTTATACTTTACATTTTCATAATACTGATATCGAGCATTGCAGAACAAATATATAAAGGACATTCAGCAATCCATAGCAATTTTAAACTCTACGCCGACGCTCATATTTAAAGGAAAAGAGAAGCTACAATATGAATTGCAGAGGATAGTAGGCTTACAGGCTGACAATTACGACGCAAATTGTGTAAATAATGCATTGGATATCGAATTGGATATGTTTTACAATATCTTGGATCTTAATGCTTTACGAAAAGTAATGTTGAAGGGAGATGTGGGGCTATACAGGTTTAATAATCTTCTTATATTAAACACATCTTATGTTAAATTTCTCGTTAGTTATTGTAGAATTATCATACCAATTTTCTTAATAGACACGCAGTCTGTGGACTCGACAAAGCCTCCATCACGACGATCAATCCGCAACACTCGAGGATCAAGCCTTACTTCCCGACAATACAAATGTCATTATATTCTCTCATAGAATGCTATAAAAACGTAACTGCCAACATAGTTTACACGAAGCTACACAATTCAACTTCAACGGAGGAGATTGAGTACACAGATAAGTTAATGTCGCCACAAGAAAAATGTAATTATAATAGTCTGGAAATGCTGAACCTCGCTAAAGTCGCTTGCGATCAGACACACGAAGAGATCAAACACTTTAACGCAGTTCTAAGTGCTTGGTAAGTTAATTCGTGGAAATATTAATATAATTTGATGCAGTAATATTAACTATAAATATGTTTTAGGACAAATCAAAACGTACAAGAAGTAATGGCACTCGACGAAACGACCATAGACGGCTTGTCTTTTAAAGATTGGTTGCAGCGTTACAATTTGTTATTATACATGATACACACACATAAAAATAGCAAATGATTCATATATCTATACTGTAGTCTTTCGCCATTCATCTTTATATATTCTATATGATATTATTCATGTGTCTGCAGAATTTTTGCATATATATATTTTTTTTAAATTATTTTTTTATACGAATTGTACAAGGATAATAATTTAGAGTACACGGGCATAGTAAATAGACTTATATTTTTCGCAAAAATACATCACGTAATATACACGTTAACCAATTTTATGATTAATAAATTTCGATTACAGTACAACGAATTTTTCTGATGTAAGAGCACTTGAAATTTTCACATATCGCTGCCTATCGAGGTTGGCGGCGCACGCCCGTAATTCGCTTTTGGCATCCCATCTCGGCGAGTCACTTGCAACAAAACAACTTCAAGTTCTCGGCCGAGTAAGAGAAAAAAAATTTATTAGAACGTCCATGTATTTCTTCTTTGTACCACACGCGCGCATTTAGCATTTTTCATCGCTCCAGCGATTGTATATTGAACGATATCTAACAAAAAATCAGCCGTCAACGGCTCCATACTTTTCAGCTAAAATATTTTCAACGAAATTCTCAAATTTTATGTAGTTGTAGATAATCTCTTGTGAATGCTCTTGTATGGTACATGCATTAATTATTGCAGATCACACACATAACAGATCACGGTCGAAGAGCTTGTTATCAATGCAACTCGAATTAAATTTTTTTTAGAATCATTTCTCTTCTATCATTGATGAAAAATGGCACCAATAAACATGTTAAAGTATACTTTTTTGTCGTTTGCGAGAGATAGAAAAATGGATTAAGAACCAGAAGAGTTCTCCATTTGGGAACAAATTCTTCAATTATGGTTGTTGCAATTTACATTACTTGAATTTACATGACAAGACTCAAGAACGTTCAAACGAGAAGGGCAGTAATTACAATTGGGAACAGGGTCCCAAGAAGTCGAAAATTCAAGACGCTCTCTTGACTTTTCTTTTTCCTTATGTACGTAAGCCGCTATAAGGGTCATGCACCCTAATGTGCGATTTTATACAGCTTCCGCTTCATACATATATATGTGTGTGTGTATGTGTGTGTGTGTGCGCGTGTGCGTGTGTGTGTGTGTGTGTGTGTGCACATGTGATTTATATAAATTAGCCCCTGAACTTGAATCATTTTTTTTTTAATTTTTAATTGCCTCGAAGTGTGGCACGACCGTCGCACTCCTCGGACTCCTCTTTAGTAGTATATAAAACTAGCCTATCTATGTACAAGACGCTATGTATTACATACAAGACGCTATGTATTACATACAAGACGCGCGCGAAGCGAGCGAGATAGGTAGCTTAATGATTGTCGCGATTAGTCGACTTCAGCTTCGGGAAGAACGTAAAAATTTGACACACAATACAATAGTAACTAGTAAACAGTAATTAAAAGCAGAGGGTTGAACAACAGGCCTTTATCTACATATTTTTCTTCATCTGTAATTTTACGTCTGAAAAATAGACGAATTAAAAAAATTTCACGAAACTACAATTTCTGAATCTTCTTAATATATACTCGAGATAATCTAATTTTGCAAGTATCGACTAATCCTTTTTAATTCGTTCATTTTTTTATTTCATTTTGAATTTTGACAATCGCAATCTTATCCGATACCGAATAATGACATCGTTCATTTAAATCCATTAATCCGAATTTTTTTCGGAAATAGCTCGGCTATCGAGCGGAAGGAGATTCGCAATATTCAACCCTTTTCAACTGAAGGAGCTGACGATTACGAACGCGAAATCCTCGCACGCTTCCCGCGCACGTTAAATAGTACAACCGAGACAACGAGCATCCGCAACAAGCATCGGCATATCCACAATGTGGAAAGCGTTGCGACGCCGGGACCGGACGTCGGCGGCTGCTGGGCCCGCGAAAGAAAGGGGATGTCGAGAGTCCCTCTCGCGAGTCGACGTATGCACGATCACAGAAGTCGGTTACTGGCATTTCTAACCGATGCTTTTGAGCTTTAAGTATTGAGCAAAAGGCACGCCTATCTTCAAAAGGCACATTGGCGCAATCGTATCCTTTCTACTCCCGCTAATGAATGAATGTTTGAGGAGGGTATTCATAGTCGAATCTTATATTTAAGATCGTCTTAAGTACAGTCATCAAAGAGCCATATTAGCATCTTAAGACATTACTTCAAATAAGAATGGAATATGAATACCGCCCTGAGACTTGAACAATCAAGTCGATACTTCCGCAAATCAATTAGAATAGACTAGATCGCTATTCATAGTCCGTTCTTATTTTAAGACCATCTTAGGCAATGTCTTAATGTTAATAGAGCTCTCTAATTATGACATTTTAAGATTGTATTTAAAATAGTCTCAAATATTGACTATAAATATCGGTCACAGAGCGGTATTAACATCTTAAGAGATTACTTAAGTCGATCTCGAAATAAGAACCTACTATGAATCACTGATTCATTGGAGCGAGCCAATTTTAAGATTTTTTCGATTTTCTATGTAATCGTAGAATGCAAATTTTCTATATAATAATAAAATAATATAAACTCATTAATTACAATTATAAAACTTATCTTTTCTTGAGGAATCATAATAAATATTGACAATAACATGCGTGGTTTTATGAAACGTTTAATCAAGTTTATGATTTTCATCTATTCTTCGCTCCTGAACGTTCTTTCGCGTTTTTACATAATCAAGAAATCTCGAAGTCCGCGACTCGATCGGCTAAGGTTACCGATTCCATGCATGTTTCTAAATGGCGAGTCATCGAAATGCAAACGAAAAGATTTCTCGGTTAATTGCGTAACAGTATCGCGCCAAATTGCTATTGTAATTTATCGTTATTTACATCCGCATAATTTCTTTATGTAACATGTAAGGTCATGCTGCCAGCTAGCGAATTTTCGAGAGATTAGGAACGTGTGATCGTGAAGCTTTGACTAAGTTTATTTTTATCGGACCTAATGGAACATTTTTTTGTATCGCATCGTATGGAAAATAGAATAAAAAATAATTTCCAATTGCTAAATTGACCAATAAGGAATGTCGTCGCAGTGATTCCCTCGCCACAGAATCACCGAATACCCAGGAATAAATAATTCTTTTTATTTATAATTTGAACCGGTTCTTCCTCTTATCTTCTTCCGCTATCTTCTACTTAATTATTCGTGATTTTGCCGAAGCAATGGACTGCTGATAATTCACGAATATCATTAAAAGCAAGCCAGAGAAGGATAATCTATCGCAGTATGCTCTGTAAAGGTCATCTCTTTGAAGATTCACGGAGATTACATTTTGCAATTTGATCTATATCATTTTCAAAATAACTCTTTTTTTTCTACAATTGTGATTTCAGCCATCCAAAGTTAGTTCGCAAACTAGTCACCTAATAAGAATCATTTACTTGGCAAGTGGCGTAAATTATCGTTAAGGTCGCTAAAAACGCACAATTATTTATATCTAAATGTTTCGTATAAAACCCGATTTAAAAACTACTCGTTTTTCCCCAGCTCCGTTCACAATGCGGGAGTACCAGGATACGATTCGCCTAAGCATCCTTCTGCATCAGTCGCCGGATTATGGTCGCGCGCGACTGTCCGGATCTAGCTGGAAAACCATCGCGCTAGTGTAGTATCGTATCGTCGATGAAGTACGTCAACGTATGCTGTATACGTACCGCGAGCCAAATACGTGCGACGTAATTTTGTACTCTTTCTTTTTCGATAGATGCGTCGATCTCGGTAGAGTCTTCAACCCTTTGTATTTAGATAATACAACAAATTAAAGATAAAGAAAGAGAGGGAAGAAGACCCTAATCTTTCGGCGATTTCGCGGAAGAAAAAGAAAAATAACGTCGTGGCGAGAGAAGATCGACTAGGCTATGCGCTCGCTCGAGGGTCACTCGACTTTTATTGCGAACGGTTTTCGGAGGTTGAGCTCCGTCGCTAGGCTTTCGCCTTTCACGTAATAATCGGCAGCATCCCTTCTCCTGGGCGAGGAGCCGTTTGCGAAACCGTTGACGGCGCCGTTCGCGACACCATTTGCGATGCCATTCGCATGCTTGCCTTTCGATTGATGATTGTCCTTAGCGACGCCGTTCGTCATCGCCGCCCTATTCGGTTTCCTGGGTTTACTTTCTTGGTAGCTTTGCTGATAGAACTCTTTGAACAAGAAGAAGAACATCACAGCGTGCAGGCCGATCCACCAGACGAACGCTTTTGGATAATTGCACTCGATGAAGAGCAACTGGAAGGCGTGAACCATGATGGCGATGAATTGCAGCATCTGGAAAGCGGTCAAGTACTTCTTCCACCAGAGGTACGGCTGCACCATTGGGCCCATCGCTGCCAGAAGATAATACGTGTACATCACGATGTGGACGAAGGTGTTCAACAAACCGAAGAAGGTCGAGTGGCCGCCTGAAAGAATTGATGACCATCAACAGAAATTAGTACGAAATTGTATTCGTAATTTATTCGTTTTTAAATCGAAGTTGTTTTTACTTAAAAATAGCAACAAATACTGCACTCTCAAAATTATTTGTGAATAATTAAAAAAAATATGAATCATCAAAAGTATATATATACAATAGTATTAACCCTCAACTACATGAGTGGGTCATTTGGACTCGGATGAAAATTTTAGTCGGTCGCTATTTTTGTATTTACATTGCAGAATTGAAGTGAAGTAAAAAAACTGGGATTCTTTCTCTGTCGATCGCCATAATGCAATTATTTCATTATTGTCTTGACGCTAATTGTGATGCAATAAAAGTTTGGCTTGTGTGATTTGAATCCGTTAAATGTAAATTCGTCAAATTTTTGCCAAAAGTAAAAAATTTGTTTTTAAGGAGTGCCTCTTTATTAGTGCTATATTCAAGTATATGTGTTGTCTTCTTATAATTAAAACATATATTCATTGTCAAAAAAAGCATGAGAGAAGCATCGCGAAACGATCGCTCTATTTTCTCGGAGTTATAAAATCGTGAGTAAATAATGTCGAAATCATTATATATTTAATATAAAATATTTTCATGGCATTTTTTTTTAAAGAAAAAAAT